CGAATGCATGGCATCGGGATGTATTTAAATATACTGATTTAGAAGCTAAATGTCCGATATGCAATAAAGTTCATACACGTTTAGGTATATGGGGCGATTGGAGCTGTCTAGGTAAAAATGATCACTATTTTCTTAATTGCCCTTTTCGCATTGATCAAAAGAAAGTTATAATTGCCATACAGAGTTTGCCGGAAACTCAAATAAGGGTACCAAACAAAATCAGTAATTCACCAATTCATCCAAACAAAACCCGCCTTTATCAATATGCCATTGAACATGGAATGGATCCCGAGAAATTTTCAGTCGTTACTGAGGTTGAGAAAAATAGGTGGGCTATGGAATGCTTCCGTGAAGACTTGGAGAGAGATATACGCTTCTATCATGGTGGAATAGAAAGGCAGGAAGATACTAGAATATATCGTAAATTTTTAACAGATCGAGATAGGCTAATCGGAGAAGAGTTATTACGTCGCAGTATACTAAAAAGTGGTTTAAGTACTGCATGGCTAGACGATCTGATGAAAGAATGGGAAGAAATTCATGCTCAATTCGTACAAATTTTCTCTCCAAATGAAATTGGAATCGAGATAACAATGAAGGCATAAAATTCAAATATAGTATCATGATAATTCTAGATCCAACATTATGTAATATCATATACAATATTTTTTCGTTATCTGTAATTATGATCACATGTGGCTATCATAGTTATTAGTACACCTTGAAATGTAATATAACTCAATAAACTTTATTACTACAAATAAAAGATAATAGATACATAATAAAGAACTAGTATAGCTAAACCAAATACATATGTGTCAAAGACACTGAGTTTTATCCATAAAATAGTAAGTCGCTGACCAGCTTGGTCCTCCGAAAATGAAGCAAAAAAATGGCGGTTTATGGTATTTATAAAGTACAACTTTTGTTATCGCAACCTATATAATTACCACTGGTTTTACAAGACGTACAACCAAAAATACATGGATCACCACACTCATAAGCACAGTGACCATCGCATAAAATTGTGGGTTGAGGAACTAGGAAGAGGATGAATGGGATGGTGATACAAGTCACAAAATTAGGAATGTGAAGAAAAAGCGATGCATGAAAAAATTTTCACAAAGAAAAAGCATTGTATCATTATATAATACAAATAAATCATGCACGTGGAACTTTTAAGACCTTCGGCGTTCGTTGATGGCCTGTTAAACATCTGAGTTACGTAGACAATTTTTTAATGATCACCATATGCATATCTGTCGTCGTAGTTGCAAAGTGATTGCTCTCTAGGAGTTCAACATCACATGTATTACTACTTTGCTGATTTATCCTCCAATGCTTTTTCAAGAAGTTAATGTGAGTCAAGAATTTCGTATTTTGTCACTAGAAAAAACTGCGGAACTTCGTCGGAATTCTGGCAATGTACGGAATTTATTCGGAAAATGTGCACGATTTACTGATTAATTCCGTAGCGGTTCCGATCCTTTGGAAATTTTTTTCATAGGGCTTCCTCACCAGAGACTCCTTTTGCAAAGCTATATAGATTTTTTCTTCATTGGTAAGCCTTCGAACAATGGCAATTGATGCGTGTAAGATGGATGAAATAAACTCGCAACGCGTAGCTTCATTGGCATCTGTCACCGTTCCAGGTTCGTTAATATCAGTATTATATCGGCCACACAACATCGATTTCCTGGAACACTACAGAAAAAAATTATTATATGACTGAATTCGTGGGACCGATGGTCTGAAAAATACCAAGGAAAATACCTCCAGGTGTGAACTGTTCAATGCTTGTAATATCCTCACCATTGACTTTATATTTGCGAAGCACGTCCTTTAACTTTTCTATCGTCTTATATGAGGAAAAGCTTCGTATTTTTTGCTCCTTAAGATCTGCAATAAACCTTGCAAGTTTATAGATAGCCCTAGTTCAAAACCACATTCTCGAAAATCTTGGACATCTCAAGAAATGCAAAACCATCGATTTTCCGCTTTTGAAAAATTACGAAGTCATCGTCGTCAAGTTTCAAGTCTCTCTTCTGTAAATAATCAATAAGCTCATCCGTACTATAATTTTTAACTACGTCTGCCATCGTGCGGGTTGACTTTTCTTCCGTCAAAGTAGTGGATGTAGAAGCCGGTGAGGATGGTGAAGTGGTATTTTTATATAGATATGATCAAAAAAATCTTGTTTATGTATCTCGCTAATAAAAGCTAGGTAATGCGATGCAAGGGAAAAATTTTATCGTATCTGTTTTTGGGTGATCGGTGGTTTATATACTACGATGTAAGTTACATGAACTGATTAGATATGAGACCATTGAATCACGCCTAACACGTCGTTGTTTTATTATTATGAAAAACTTGCCCATATTAAGGCGGATACAAAAAATAAAATTGTAAAATACATTGATATGACATGGTGCAAATGTAGATAAAAAAATCTAGTTATTTGGAGGGTTACATAAACATGAACTCCTTCTTCACTAAAATTCTCACCAAATAATTTA